CTGGGACGCTTTTCCAACACACACCAAAAAGCATAAATCATTGTATGAATTTTAATTTAATTACATTTCCATTCAGTCGAATAAAGTATGGAACATCAAACACAGTTTATTTAACCTTTACACATATTCAGTTTATAAGTCAAACAACCCCCTTGGTTATTTTTTTTGTATAATTCCATGTCATATGAAATATGAAGACTATTATAGTGAAGACTGATTTAACACATATCATATGTGTTAAAATAGTCTTCACTATAATAGCCTAATATGATGATTCAGTTACAAAAAAAGAAACCTTCTATTTTAGATGCTCTGAAGTAGCTGCTCTTCTTTGCCTTGACGCAACTTTACATACTTTACAGACAATCTTTCAAGCAGCTTCATGAGGAGTCACCCTGGGACGCTTTTCCAACACATGCCAAAAAGCATAAATCGTAGTATGAATTTTAATGTAATCATATTGTACATTACCATTCCATTAGATAAAGTAGGGAACATTAAATGCAATTTATTTAACAACATACTCAGTTTATAAGTCAAACCTTTTTTTGTAACTGTTATTACATATCATATGGAATATGAAAACTGTTATAGTGAAGATGGATATAACACGTGTTACAATACTCCTCTATAATCACTGATATAACACATATCATATGTGTTATAATAGTCTTCAGTATAATAGTCTTCATATGCCATATGATATGAAATGATTCATTTTCAAAAAAAGAAACCTTCTGTTTTAGATACTCTGAAGTAGCTGCTCTTCTTTGCCTTGACACAACTTTACATGCTCTGGACAATCTTTCAGGCAACTTCATGAGGAGTCACTCTGGGATGCTTTTCCAACACACGCCAAAAAGCCTAAATCGTAGTATGAATTTTAATTTAACTATGTTGTACATTTCCATACAATCAGGCAAAGTAGGGAACATTAAACTCAATCTGTTTAAACTTTATACATGTCGCTGTTGTCGGAACCAAACCTTGCATCTCCAAAATGGTAACTTTACAGGAGAATGAAAAAACATTCTCTTCTTTTAATGTAAGTCAAAGGAAACCAGGCTTTTTTCCAAGTAATTCTGGGTTGTGTCTTTTGGTCCATTCATCATGAAATTAACACACAACGTAAAGGGCAATGGTTACTTTCAAATTATGTCAGAAACTGAAAAACGACAGAAATGGAGAAAGGAGGTTTTGTTCCGGGAGCAGCGACAACCCTCTTGGTAAAAATTCTCTATATGCTGAGACTTTGTTGGGAAAGAGTATATCAGTATTTTACGTTAAATGTTTATTTTTTTGGAAATTTATTCATATTTAAGCATCTTTTTATATTTATCGTAGAAACGAATTTCAAACTTATAAGCACAAGCCCTTAAATTATAATGTCTTTAAGATTATGAAACACATACATTCAATCAGGTGATTTTGACTGGTTCTGTATGTGTGTGCAGTGTGACCCACCAGGAGGCATGAGTGGCAGCGCTTCTCTAGGGGCTCAGGACCTCTGGCTGCATCGACCTTTAAAATGGCACATGGACTTTTTTCTAAGCATAGCGCTCTCCCCTCTTTTTATCTAACCTCATGACACCCCTCCGGGACTCATCCGATTTCTTTCTGTCCCCGTACGCCGTCTGGAAAAAACAATTTCCTCCGCTCAGAGGAAGCTTTATGCCGTTTTACGAACATTTTAATAGGAGTGTTTGATATTCCCTTGAAGACAACCGAATCGCACGGCTAACGTAAATTAGCCTGCCTCCGTGTAAATATTGGACTTGGGATTGTTTGATATTTTTCCATAAACCTGTCAAGAGCACAAAGCCAGAGATCAGAGCTTTTCACTTTTCTGACATGGCATCTTTTGTGTGAGGTCAAACAAAGGTCCTCGTGATATTTTCCCCACTTCACATCTTATTATTCGGCACATCAGGGTTTTAATTAACAGAGTGGACCTGTAAACGCCTGCTGTCAAATGAACATCAGGGCTAAAGTTGCTAAATTGCTAAATAGCTTGCATAAGTGTGTTTTTATTACCTTCTAATCAAGGTTAGAGAGAGTTTTGAATCAAATGGCTGTTTTTTTAAAATGCCAGTATTGCACTAAGCATAGAAGCTCTTCATAATCTGGAAGTTTTGCCTGCAGAACCGCTAGTAAGAATTATCATTATGATTAATCTGTTGCATAAAAGGCACATAAAAGGACAGTTTTCTTCAGCTGACAGTTGTTTTTCCAGAGAATGATTCATGACATATGCCCTCCCAAGGGATTTTAATAGGCCAACTCTTGAGAGGGCAATGCTGCTTTTCAGGTGAAATGTCTGCCTACGCAGGAAGTTATTTTGCAAACTCTTGTCTTTCAAAATATTGCAAATATGCTACATGGGCACTGAGTAAATGCTTGAGTGCCCCGTTCTTATCATATTCTCCATGTGGCTCACTTGAATTGCGAAATTAGTACAGCAGAGCAAACTTTAAACAGGAACAGATGCTTTGTTTAAAAAAAGCGTACCTGATTTGCTTGTCTCATCTTTTAGGATGTTCTTGTTATGTGGGGTTGTTTTCAATTGGAGCACTCTCACCGAATGCTATTTTTGAACACCCTTAAGCTCACTCTCTGCTGTCTGGGGAAGAACAAAAGAAGGAATTGGGAGCAAACTGAAGGTGTACTTGTGCAGCTCTCAACTTATTCTTTGACAGCAAGGAAGAAGAAACATGCCTCCTTATTTGTGGGCAGAGAGAGAGAGAAAGAGAAAGAGAAATGGGCTTGACGTTCGTTTAAACACGGGTGTTGCATACTGTGAACTCTCAGAGGCTCTAAGGCCAGAGTAAAAGTAATACTCTAGCACTTCATACAGTATAGAATGGTATATTGGAGTTGGAGTTGCAGAGAACAAATAGATTGGGTTAGCAGAAAAATCAATTAATCTATTGGTATAATAAAGAAGGTTGGTCATCTGGTTAACACAAATTGTCTTCTTACTGTTTATTATAGTCTAATTTATCCTTATTTTTCATATTGTAATATAGTTTGGGCAAGTACTTTCTCCACTACTCTTCACAAAATTTGGGTCCTTCAGAAACGTTTTGTTAGGATTGCAACCCAATCAGATTTATATACGTCATCTGCTCCTTTATTTCAGAAACTTCAGATTCTTACTATTTATGATATGAATATTTTTCAAATAGGTGTTTTTATTTATAAGATATATTTAAGTGAGCGGAATATTCCAGAGCAGTTTAAAATTTATTTCACAGCAAATTCAGGGGTTCATCCATATTCAACTCATCAATCTTCAGATCTTCATCCTCCTAAATTTCTCACTTGTAGAGGTCAGTTTTCAATATGATTTAGGGGCAGTAAAATGTGGAATAGGCTTCTTTAAAATCCTATAAAAAATGCTAAAAAGATCATTTAATATCTGTACTGTAGTTGTTCTTCTGTTGTTTTATTTGCTTTATTTATTGTGATGTTTATTATTACTGTTGCTCAGGAGTTAATATGGTTGTATAAATCTTTATTATTTCACATATGTATTTATATCTCATCTATGCACGGACGCTCTTGTGCACATGCACAACACACACATCTGCTTACACATTCAAATGTTTTTGTTGAATGTGTTATGTCGATGCTGATATTTAAGTCATTTGATGTTTGTTTTTTGTCATTATTATGTTGTATATTGTTTTGTATTTTCCCTTATATTGTGTAATTTCATTGTTTAGGTGGAGGCCTTACATAAGCCAATCAGGTTTTTTGCCTCTCCCTGCATTGTATGTTTTCTTAGTCTATTTGTGTGTATTTTAAATTGTGCAAAATAAACTATAAACTATAAACTGTAACTTTCAGTATTCAGATACACACTTTCACTTTCATCCAGATTTTCAGATATTTTAGCTTTAAAGTCCAAACTGCACACTGTCCCAAACTCTGCATTTGCTTTGTAATTGAATGTTTTATTGCAAAGCGTATAAGATGTACACAATAGATGAGATACACAGAGCATAAAAACAGAAATTTATAGCGCTGTCAGTGCTGTCTACACCCTTTAGTCAGTCCTGTAGTTATATGCTAAAAGGAGGTGGTTGCACATTAGCAAACCTGAAGTGTAAAGTATCTAACATCCTCGAGCTCCACACAGTAAACACTGAAAAATGATATTATATTTAGTTGTTGAGGCTGTGTTAAGGTATTTGTTTTCTACCTTTTTTTCCTGATACTGAAAAATGATTAACTTGTATTTAATGGCTGTTTTGACTGAAAATAAAATCAATGAAAGGATGGCCTTTGAATTTTTGTACAGTACCATATTACATATAAGTGGTGTCCTGTGCATCACATCTAGAATCAGTATGTTTGGTAAACCACGGTTCACGTGAACCTTTGTGTAGGCCTGCACAATTTATCTTTTGTTATTTGTTATTGTGATATTAACCTTTATCACACTTACATAACAGAAGGCAGCGATATGCAAATGACTCTAATGAACTAATCACAAAAGTTTTTTCTGTGTGCTGTGAGAATCCAAGCTGACACAGATGATCCAAATGAGTGTTTTGAAGAGTTAAGCCAATCAGCTGATCCGACAAATGTAAATGATTTTAGGAAAAATATTACATCAGCTGTTCAACAGTGTGTTTTAATACATTTTAAGGAAGTGGTCTCCAACCCTGATCCTAGAGATCTGCTTACTGCAGAGTCTAGTTTCAACCACTGTTGTCCACACCTGCTCCAGCTGATTAACTTCTTCATAAGTCCTTGATTGGCTGAGTCAGATACAATAGTTTTGGGGTTAATTTAGGTTGAAACTAAACTCTGTAGGAAAGTTGATCTCCAGGAAGAGGGTTAGTGACCGCTGTTTTCAAAATCTAACATCATAATAACTATGTAGAATTTCATTCATATCGTGCAGACCTGGTTTTGTTTTATGTGTGGCTGCTGTAAAATGCAATTATGTATATCAGTGTTTAACATAGTGCCTACTGTTTCTGATTCTGCAGATTTGTACTCCAGACCTGGTGGTCTTTCTGGCCTGTTCCAATCAGCGTCTAAAGGAGCGCCTAGAAAAGCGAGCGGAGCAGCAAGGTCGCCCCGATGACAACCCCAAAGCTACCGAGCGACGACTGGCCAACTTTAAACAAAATGCTGTCCCACTGGTGAAATATTTCCAGGAGAAGGGTCTCATCGTCACGGTAAGGGCGAGGTTTGAGTTACCTGTTCCTCTAGACCTTTGATATTTGGCATACGAAGTTGGTCATTAATGCCCACTATTATATTAGGTTGGTCATTAATGCCCACTATTATATGAGGATACACACAGAGTCAGGGGCTACATATACACACAATGGCATTGGGCATGGCGATCTTAAGCTCATGTGTGGCTGCTTCAGAGTGTCCCATTCTATTTGCAGTGTTTTTTTATATAGAGAGTATACAGCCTCCGTATGTGCAGTTGAATGCCTGTATCAGCAATGAGTGCCCCCTAAAGTAGCTGCATTCTCTAATTAGAGGAGGTGCCTGGATGCTTATGGACGAATAGTGTACCTGCTAGTATAACAACACTAGCTAAGTTTCCATTGACTTTCTGTGCAAAAATGAAAATGCATAAAGCAATGCAAATGTTTGTTTCCATCAAAATGACTTTTAGCAATAGAAATGCTTTATATAATAATATGATTTCTTTTTTGGTTTATCGATAACTAAATTGTGTTTGCTATGGTTCCGTCTCTAAAGTGTAATTTCTATCTTTCCATTTCTAATTTCCGTCTTTCATGTATATCGCAAGTTGTTTAGCTTCCAGAGAACATTCTTATAAGAAAATTTTGTTATTATTTTTCATCTGAACTGTTACGCAAGAGATCATGTTTCTCTGCCATATAGAGATGAGCACTTTCCATTTTCTGGCCATCTCTCTGTAAGAGCTGAAAAGTGACAGCATTCCTTTTAAAAACACTCTCGAGTCCAGTTCTACCTCTCCACCATGCTCTTTGTGTTTGTGTTTGTTATAAGAGGCATGAGAGGGAAATCTGTCACATGACACTAAATTTATGTTTGAATGCGTTGCTGTTCGGATCAGTAAGTGCTTATTATTGAGTGTGTTTACATGCACTTAATAATCTGATAACTGCAGAAAAACAGATTTTGTCTGTAATCCGATCAACATGTTTACATGCTCTTGAGTAATCAGATAATAATATAAAACTCCGGTTCTACATGAGTCAGGCAGTAATCAGATTTCTACTTTGCAACCATCCAATAAACTCACAGAAGAAGACGTGATGTAAACTTAACGCAAAACTCAAACTTCATGCCGCGGCTTTTTTAAAACATCACCTGAAAATATGAACATACATCATCTAGAAAATGAAGAATATTTAAATACTTTATTGTGTGTTTGGTTTCAGCGCCTCTCCAAAAGTTTTGCTGCCATCTCTCGACATCTATCGTTGGTTTTTGCACATGCGCAGACTGAGAAATCAGAAAGAAATCAGAGTAAGAGTTTACATGCACTGAGGAATCTGATTACTGAGCTAAAATCCAGCTCTCTTTATCGGATTTCTTAATTAGATTTCTAAATCGGAGTATGATGTTTACATGACCATTTGAATAATCAGATACCTGCACAAATCTGATTATGATCGGATTATTGAGTGCATGTATACAAACTCATTGTTTTGTTTAATTAGAGAATTGCTAAAATGTGACTGATGACTGACACATTTCTATTCCTTTTTTGGTTCAAGAAGGTAGTTTGTGATACAAACAAAACAAAAATCCTGATTTTCTTTACAATTCATGATTGTCATACATACTGCTGTCAGAAGAAAACCTTGTATCTCCAAAATGGTAACTTTACAGGAGAAGGAAAAACCTACTTTACTTTTAATGTAAGTCAATGGAACCAGACCATTTTCCAAGTCATTTTGGGTCGTTTCTTTTCGTCTATTCATCATGAAATTAACATACAATGTAAAGGGCAACAGGTATTTTCAAATTATGTCAAAAACAGAAAAATGTCAAAAATGGAGATACAAGGTTTTCTTCTGACAACAGTGATATCATGATTATCAGGATTAAGGCAAATAATGCCATTAGTGCCATTCAGCATTCCATTTGCCATTTCACATTCTGCATTACTTGCTTAGAAAAGGCAAGGCTGTAAGCTATGATGAAAACATGGTGCAATACAAGTGTGTAAGCTTAGGGAAGCCCTTTAATGAACCATGATGAAAGGCTTTGACCGGATGCTGAACAGGTTGAAGGACCCCAAAGTTTTTCTTCAAGACTGACAGCTGTTAAGCTCCTGTATTCAGACTCTGCTGTTTCATGCTACCATCGTCTTCATCTCTGCAATTCAGCAGCCACTAAAAAGCAGCCACTAACCTAACTGTCATGAAACAGAGGCAGTCTGCCTCAGCTTGGATAACAGTGTCCCAGTGGAGCTGCAGCTGTAACTAGAACCAGCTCATTTCAGTTAATTAAACCCAAGTAACGGGGGAGCGACGTATAAATTCAGCCTATTTTCTCACATCCCTCGGGTGTATATTGGGTAACCATGGAAACCGAAGAAGGCTGAAATTCTTGTGAACAATGGTGTATGGAGGGGTCTTTAAAAAAAAAAGAAACAGGAAGCCATCTATGCTGAATGTCAAATCTATGTAGCGTGCTGTACTGCACGGCCAAGTGCGCGTATGACTAATATCGAGCGAGCGCGGCTCTTTCCAGCTGAGCCCATTCCTTCTCCCTGGAAACTGTTCATTTCTCGACGAAGGCTGGAGGGCAAATGCTGCAGCGTTTAGTCCAAATTAGACTCAAGCTGAATTTCTCTATACAGCCAGAGATGAACATTGGGGAAATCAATACAAAGACCATATCTACAGGAGAAAGAGACGTAAAGGGACATTTTGTTGGGTTAAAGCAGATATGTTAGCAGTACTCATGAAAAACTCTCTTTCTCAAGATCTGTAACAGGTATTTTGACATGTTCTCCTGACCCCAAAGGTAGTCAGTCAGCCAAGACATGTTTGTTGTCTGAAGTGAGCTTCTTTAATTTTGCAGTGGAACAAAAGTAAATAACAAGTAATGAGTGCTTATACTGCACTAGTTAGCATCATGCAAACCTGTTATATGATAGATATGCAGTTTGCATTGTGCTAATTGGTGGGTTGTACTTATTTACCCACCATTGTAGCTCTAGTGCCACACTAAAGAAGCAGACTTCATACCTTGAACATGTTTTGACTGACTAGATTTGAATTAGAGGGGCAGTTAGATGCTTTGCTTCCAGAGTGGGAAACTAGCACAAGTTACTTTCAAGCTTGTTCAGATATCTGAAACTGACTCCTAATGCACTCAAGGAGTGGATGACCACAGCTTGAATGTCGAGACTGGTCAGTAGGAATATCCCCTGGTTTAGTACCGTAGCTTTTTTTTTTTTGACAATACTAAATTTCAGCTTGTGTTATCTGGAAAGTGGATAAATCCTGGTAGTAAATATCCCTTGATCCAGCCTTATCTGGTTTGCATTCATGTATTCATACACCCCTCACTGCTAATCTCTCACTTTCTCTCGCTGTTACCACCGACGAACACAGACAGCCACATCATACCAACAAAAGATAGATTAAAAAAAGAGGTGAAAGCATCACTGTCAGTTTTAAATGGAGGCGAGGCCATTCACTGCTGCGTGGGGACTAATGACTTTGCCTTGCAGTTTTGTGTCGAGTGGAACAGATGTGTTGGTTTGTGCCAAGCCTTTTTGACCACAGTGTAGACGCCTCTCTCTTTGCAGCCATCAGTGGGAAGAGAACTGTTTGTTCACACTGTAAAACCTGCAGTGTGCCAAACCACAAATGCAAACTGGGTGCTATAGCACTGAAAACATGGCTTATAGTACATTCTCAGTCATGATGGGTTGAGTCAAGGCCGGGTTTAAGGCCTCAGCATACTTCTTGCGGAGACGATGTTCGTCTGGCTTCAGCGAACAACATGACGTAATTGCGGAGAAAACGTACAACCGCAGAGGTCAAGCGGAAGCTTCGTTTGCCATGTCGCGCACATGGCAGCTGGGCGAACTCTGCAGGCGAAGACGCTAGGTGCCAAAGCCTGTGATTGGTCTGTAAAAAAGAGGCATGCCATCAAACAAAGATGGACAACTTTGAGGAGCTTCGGTTTTGGCAGACACAATAATATTTCACGGTGAAACGTGCATTTGTTAAATAAACAATGAATATCTCCTAAATGTAAGGTGTTAAGTCTGTTATTCGGTAGTACTAACTAGTACTGAGCACCAAAACATACAGGTTATCTTATATTTAGGTTCACAAGAGGACGAGGCTGAAGTTGGCTTTCTATTCACCAGCTTCTTGTTTGAATTTTCCCATTCCACCTTAAATGGTGTCAGTATTCTGAACTCAAACATTGTCATAGAACAGTGAAAGAATTTTCCAGCGGTCATGAAACATATCATAAAATGACATAGCGCCACATGGAGTGTCCGCGACAGGCAACACGAAATCGCAGAAAGTATGCAAGCTTGTAAGCTCGCGAAAGCGCTTTCGGCTTTGCACAACCATCGAGAATTTCGTTTCACAAGAAGTATGCTGAGGCCATAAGAATAGCAGTATGGTAATGTGCAGTTCTGCAAAATAAAGGAAAACCAAAAGCGAAGTCCAAACATTGCATCGAATGTGCTTTAATATTGAAAATTCCTTCCGCCAAAAAAATAGTAGCCTTTGTGTTATGGATAGTCGCAATATCAGGTTGAGCCTAGCTTTTTCAATATTTGCCAAATTAACCTGAATGATATTTTGTTCCAGCCAGTCTTTAAAGCATTTTACAGCCCATCTTGTTGACATGATGTTTGAATCATGATACGTATTAGATCATTAAATTGCTGCAGATACTTAATCATACCCAGAAATGAGAAGGGCAGTAGTGGGCGCCGTGAAGAATAACTAAAAAAAAAAAGCAACATACTGTACTTTTTCCAAATGGACTCTCTCTTCTTCCTCCCCGATGTGGATATTGTCTGTCAACAAGGCTTGAAGACGTGTGGAAACTCTTGAAATCTCCACTTCTGACAGGAGTGTAGTCTCTCTCGGAGCGAGTGCGTCTCAACAGAGCGTAAATAAACCAGAGCGCTGCTGTCTGCCTGAACAGCACCTCATTCCCACCTGCCTTTCTGCACTGC